CCACACACACCACACACCACACACACCACACACCACACACACCACACACACACACCACACACACACACCACACACACACACACCACACACACACCACACACACACACACACACACCACACACCACACACCACACACACACACACACACACACACACACAGACACTCTCTCTTTCCCGCGTGGCGGCGCAGGCCTGTGACCCCGGCCCCCGTCGCCTGGCCCCGGAAGGCGGGAGCTGCCCCCAGCCTGAGGGAGACCCCGTCTCAAAAGAAAAGAAATGAGGCCGGACAGCACCCGGGCGCACATTTTCCCTGCAAACGGGAGAGCTGCTCCTCACCAGAAGCAGTAGAATCTGGAGGACGAAGGCAGAAACCGCAGGCACTCCCGGAAGCCCACTCCTCGCAACCCGCTGCGTTTAACCCCGTCTAGATCAGCCCCGGGCCGCCCTCGGGCCCGGCACCCGGGCAGCGGTGGCACAGGTGTCACTGGAGGGCAGTTTCTAGTCCGTCCCCAGGCGTGCACACGGTCGTCAGCCGCTCGGATCTATTTATAAGTCAGGGGGCACTAACTGCAGGTTGCTCTCTGCTTTTTTTTTTTTTTAGTAAGTGATGAGAAGCACTGTGTCTTTTTCTTTTCCTTTTTTAAAGAGAAGATTGACTGATCATCTAAATGTACGTAGGACTGGGAGTACTGGCTTGCAGTCCTAAGGGACAGCTTTATATTTTTGCTTAATTGCAGCGGTGTTAACATTTATGTTATGCCATTTGCTGACTACCAATTAGGTTCAGTCACTGTATTTTGTCTCGTCCTCAAGCGAGTCTCCAAGGTATTACTAGACAAATTTTAGAGATCAGGTAGACTAAGCTTAGAGACGGTACTTACTCTGCTCTACCTCACATTTGTGGGACTGGTGTCAAACCCAGCCTATGCGACTTTAATGCAAGAACTTCATTCAGGACATTCTGTCACTCCTTTCCAAATTTCTTATTCCCTTGGAGTTCTGGAATGATTGGGAAGATATACCCAATATGAAATACCAGGTGGAGCCATGACAAAGAAATTTTCGTGAATTGTTATTTTGATTATTCTACTAATTCAAGAAAAAAGGCACATCCACATAAAAAGCAGCAGAGCAGAACCCTATGAAGGAATAAGAGTGAGCTGTTCCCAAGTTAATGCTTAATCAAAATTACCGTTAAACATTATTTAAGAATTGTCATAACTTGGTCAGGTGCAGTGGCTCATGCCTGTAATCCCAGCACTTTGGGAGTCTAAGGCAGGCAGGTCACCTGAGGTCAGGAGTTTGAGACCAGCTTGGCCAACATGGTGAAACACTGTCTCTACTAAAAATGCAAAATTAGCTGTGCATGGTGGCACATGCCCCTAATCCCAGCTACTTGGGAGGCTGAGGCACAAGAATCGCTGGAACCCAGGAGGCAGAGGTTGCAGTGAGCCAAGATCGTGCCACTACCCTCCAGTCTGGGCAACAGAGTGAAACTTTGTCTCAAAAAAAAATGTCAAAATTAGTGTTATAAGATATATAGTAATTGATCCAACATGGCAGGAGGAAGATAGTAGTTAAGATGCAACTGAGAGATGCCAGAAACCTAAGGCAGGAATATATTTGCATGTCAGCTCTGTGCCTGGCCAATCGAAACCCTTCAAAGTTAAAAAAAAAAAAAATGACGTTGAGGGCATGGACTTGAGGAACCCAAAAAGGGAATTTGTTAATAAAGTGAAGGTGATGTCAGTTAATTACTGGGGGAGTTACAGAAAAGGTATAAGGACTGGCAAGACATACCTTGGGTTTCTAAATGGATATCGTATTATGCATGTAAAGGGCTGTTGAATTATATGGGTACCTGTCCCATGCACCATATCCAGGCAATACCTATCCGCAGCCTCGGTAAGGAAGCTTTGTCACCCAGGCTGGAGTGCAGTGGCACAATCTCGGCTCACTGCAGCCTCTGCCTCCTGCATTCAAGCGATTCTTGTGCCTCAGCCTTCCGAGTAGCTGCGATTACAGGTACACACCACCATACCAGGCTAAATTTTTGTATTTTTAGTAGAGATGGGCTTTCACCAATGTTGGTCAGCTGGTCTTGAACTCCTGGCCTCAAGTAACCTGCCCACCTCAGCCTCCCAAAGTGCCGGGATAACAGACGTGAGCCACCATGCCCAGCCTAAATCTTTGAATCTTGATTAAAACAACCAGCCTGGATCCATTTAGGCAGGATTTATATTTTCTCAATCATAATTGAAAGCATTTTTTTAAACAAAGGACTATATAGACAATAAGGTTTAATTGAGAATGGCTTATATGGAAAGAGAACGTATGAAAGACTGCCTATATAAATATAGGAATTATTTTAACACATAAGTACATAAAATTCCCATTGCAAAACTGAATGTTGATGTTACCAGTTTCATCTTGCACTGGAAGTGGTGAAATCATTTGTTAGGTGTAACTAGGAAGCATCAGTCTAGTCTGGATTCTCTTGGGTGGTCATTCAGGTTTTCTGGGCCCATGAGCCTGATTCTGGGCAAGTCACCTGTACGAGTGTCAGCAGCTCTCTGTCTGAAATTGCTCCAATTCTGAGTCTGTATGTTCTCATTGAATGCATTTCTAAGGATATTTTCTTCCCAAATGCAGCCTGTGGTTGCAGCTGATCTGCAAAGGGGCATTTCCGAAACTGATCTGTGGTGTCCCTGTGTAGCACTGCACTTTCAATCTCAATAAAATTTCCCCTGTGTTCCTCTACTCCACCAACCATGGCATGAATGGAAAAGGCTGATTTTTTTTGACAGCAGAGAAAAGGTTCCAAAATTGCCCAGTGTCAAGGATTCTATGACACTCCCTGACTGTAAGATATGACCATTACCATGTAGAATACCTAATTCTACATACTGTTAGATGTGTTTTCAGAATTGTTTTCCTTTTTAAATCACTAGTAGCTAAAAAGAATAATTTTTTTTTTTAAAAACTGGAGACACCACTTTTATACTGTAGCAGGAAAATATTGACATATTCCCAAGCAAATGAGTAATGATTATTGGAATTCCTTTTATTTGCTCAAGTGCCTTTGTTATAATAATTGAGTATATAATAACTGATTCAATAAATAATGGAGAAATGTGTTGTTTAAAAAAACTTTAATTCATTTGCTGTCCAAGAGCATTAATCATTTTTATTTTGAATGGTTTTAAAATAATTATAATGCATTTCTCAGCATATTACCCATTCTTCTTTCTGAAGGGTCCCCAGTGCCAGTAGGTATAGATGTCCATGTTGAAAGCATTGACAGCATTTCAGAGACTAACATGGTAAGTTTCTTCATGGGATATTGTTGTTCTCAGCAGTGTCAAAATCACTAGTGTTTTAATATATCATTTAAATTATGTATGTTATTTATGTCTCCTACTTTGCTTAATAATAGAGTCGTGATTGCTGTGCTGTCTTCTATCCCCTTCATTCTACCCTCGATTACAATTCACTTTCCTTATCGACTCTTCTATTTTCCTTCTAATGGTTTTCCAGTGGTGGAACACTGTAGAACATCATGATATATTTACCTGTGTAGCAAGAATTGAGAATAATTGTCTAAAAAGAAGGATGACCGTACTATATGTGCGATACAAAATCCCAATCATGAGTCCTTACCCATAAAACAACAAACAGTTGAACCAACATTGACAGACTGCTTTCACATATGTCAAATGGTATTAATTTTGCTTATCTGAAGACAACCAGCAGCAAAGGACAAAGGATTATTCATGGGACTAAAAATTTAATTAAAATTTGGTCTGTTTCCTTATATTTTTTCAGAAATCTAAGAGACTGACATTATTTAATTTTGCAATGAAACATCTGTATTTTCATAGAGGAGTATTTGTTCAATGAAATATCCATAAACTTGAAACTGATCCCTTATCTTCAACCCTCCTAAATCCCTTATCTTCAGGCTTTCCTTATCTAAAACCTGTTAGCTGTTTCTGTTTTTTATGACAGAGCACGCCTTGCTTTTTTGTTTCTTCTTCCCATCCCTTAACCACTTTAGCTGTTTTTATGTTTTAATATTATCAACTGTAATTTTCCATCTCATTTTCTCTTCCCAGTTTAATACCACCTTCCTTGTTTACATAATTATCAGAGCCAAGTGATTTTAGGTTTTTCAAGTTTTTTGCTCTAAGAAAGAATAGTTAATACCATGGCTAGCTCATATATCCAAGCACCTACATATCTATTTTCAGATGTATTTCCTTTTTACTTACTCTTGTTCCATTAATTTGTTAATGTAGTTTCAGAGTTTGGTTGAGCCCCCTTCAGTTTGTTTTTCTATCCCAAATAAAGAGTTTCTTTTTCGCTTCAAAATTTCAACCTCCGTGTCCTTTTTGTCTTAGTCTGTGTTACTATAAAGGAATACCTGAGGCTGGGTAGTTTATAAAGAAAAGAGGTTTGCTTGGCTCCTGGTTCTGCAGGCTGTACAAGAAGCATATCACTACCATCTGCTCCTGGTGAGGGCCTCAGGAAGCTTCTACTCATGGTGGAAGGTGAATAGGAGTAGGCATCACATGGCAAGAGGAGGAATGGGGGTGGGAGAGATACTAGGTTCTTTCAACAACCAGTTCCTAGTGGCAGGGTGAGGAAGAAAGGGGACTGTCATGGGAAATAATTGATAACTTATTCATTACTAAGAAGATGGCTCCAAGCTATTCCTGAAGGATCTGTCCCCAAGAGCCAAATACCTCCTGATATGGTTTCGGTCTGTGTCCCCACCCAAATCTCATGCTGACATGTTGAGGGAGGGACCTTGTGGGAGGTGATTGGATCATGGGGGCAGTTTCCCCCATGCTGTTCTTGTGATAGTAAGAGAGTTCTTATGAGATCTGATGGTTTACAAGTAACAGTTTCCCCTGCACGTGTTCTGTCTCTCTATCTGCGGCTGCTTGTGAAGAAGGTGCTTGCTTCCACTTTGCTTTCCACCGTGATTGTAAGTTTCCTGAGGCTTCCCCAGCCATGGAGAACTGTGAGTCAATTAAACCTCTTTTCTTTATTAATTACTGAGTCTCAGGTAGTTCTTTATAGCAGTGTGAAAATGAACTAATACACCTCCCATCAAGCCCCATCTCCGACACTGGGGATCAAATTTCAACACAAGATTTGGAAGGAACAAACATTCAAACTTTATCACTTGTTCTTACCTAATGGCTATGTGTCCTTATATTTAAATTGCTTTTTCCATCTCATTTAATTCACCTCAGTTGCTGTCTTCTCCATCATCTTCTTTAGATCCACCTCTTTTGTTCTCTGTCAATACTACACCACCTTCACGTATTAATGACAAAGGCCCTAACTGGAACCTACTAGTAAGATGCAGCTTATGAATATGTTTTGGTTTGGTTTCAATTTTGGATTTGGTTTAAATTTTAGTTTTTTTTTCTCCATTCTGCCAAAAGTATTAAACAATTTAATGTTTGGGCCAGGAGCAGTGGCGCATGCCTGTTTTCCCAGCACTTTGGGAGGCCACAGCGGGCAGATCATTTGAGGTCAGGAGTTCAAGACCAGCCTGACCAACATGGTGAAACCCTGTTTCTACTAAAAATACAACAATTAGCCAGGCATGGTGGCACATGCCTGTAGTTCCAGCTACTCAGTAGGCCAGTCAGGAAAATTGCTTGAACCTGGGAGCTGGAGGTTATAGTGAGCCAAGATTGCACCACTGCACTTCTGCCTGGGTGACAAAGTGAGACTGTCTCAAAAAAAAAGGAGAAAAATCAATGTCTGAGTGTCTCTAGATAGGGCCTGTCCCCTCCAGTTTGTCCTGGAAGCCATGCTTGCTTTTCTTCTCTCGATTCAGCCTGCTTCTTTGACTAAAGTTGCCACCTGGTCCTTGGAGTCATTAGAAATTGCAACTCTTATCCGGATGCTTATTATCCTCTGCTTTCTACTTTAAAGATGGCAGTCTGCTTTTCTGTTTGTTTTTCTAATAAAACCAACAGAGTACCTCTTCCATTAATTGGGAGAAGTTATTTTCTTTTCAAACTTCATTTTCCATCTGAAAAGATTTAGTTTGTTGTTCATGCAATCTACTCTTGCTGGCTATTTTTCTGTATATGAATCCTTGAATTTCATTCCATTTTCTAGAATATTTTACATGTGTATCCTTAGAAACCTTTCAAAAGCTTTTATATATGCTTTGGAATAAGTATTGTTGATACATAAATTGTAGCATATATAGTAATTTTCAGAGTGTTAAATTTTAAAATTTAGATTCTATGTATTATTTTTGTAATAATGCAAATACCACAATTAAAGATAAAATGAGAGAGACAGAAAGTGAACAAACACGGATCTGCTAACAGAGCAGGGCCTAGAAAACATCAGTCACTAAAATCAAATCATCTTTTCATCTGTATCCTTAATTCATATTTTAATTTTTAGCGATTCCTCCAAATCACTAACTGAAAGAAGTTTAGGACACATAAAAGTTCTAGAAAGGTCTAAACACAATCTTCTGTGACCCATTACACCTTGTTTCAGTCTGTGAACTCTCAGCTAATGGTCTGCCTAGTCCTTATCATTGCCTAATTCAATGTTTATTTCAATTCAACATAGGTCTTAAACATTCGTTTTGCCACTCTACACCAGAAGGGAATATCACTCATAGGACTCACTCCTCAAAGAAGACTGGTTTATAAGATTCTGATCCTTTCCTACCCAAAGTCAGCTCCTGCTGGTACTTCCACCAAGCCTGTTGTGCTCTGAGAACAAGCTTTAATTTCCCCTGTCCTGGCATCATATTGAAGTCATTTCTGAATGACCCCGTTTGCACCTAAAATCCTTATTGTCTCTAACCAGCAGCACCCAAAACTGGATATCACCTTTACTCCCTGAATAAGGTTAGCTTTGCTAGTCTGTATCAGATAAAACTGGACTGGATTCACATGCCCAGTGTGAAAATGCTTTCTCATTGTCAGTGAGTCACCCTTTTTCCCTAGTGTATGTTTGGTTGGTTGGTTTTGCTTCTCATTTATCATGTTTCTGCTCTCTCTTGTCCACCCTAACTTCACTTTCGATCCGTCTAAGTTTTCTCTCATTCGCCTTCCAGAATGCTGTTCGGCTTGCTCCCGGTGATTGATAGTGCCGGCAAGTAATGACTTGCTGTATCACAAACACGCACCCACGTCTGCTATTTGACTCCATAAACTCCGATGTTTGCCTAGTGACCTTCAGATCAGACCAAGCATCTAATACTAAGTATATGCTTATTAAGGCACTCTGTGCAGTAACCCACACAAGTCCCTGTATTATGTTAACGAATGAATCATTCTGTTTATTTGCCCTCACCCTAATCCAAAATTACGCATGGCTAATGTTCCCAGATTAACCCAGAGCCGTAAATCAATATAGCTCTATTCTGAACCCAGAACAAACTAGCTCATAATTAATTGGTGACTCATTCAGAGTTTACTGAAATGTATCCTTTGTATAATAAATGCCAAAGTCCTAGCATATGCACTAGTTCGAGAAAAATTTGATTATCATTGGAAAATAAAAACTAGAAGTAAGCAGTTGTGAAATAGTAAGAAGTTATTGTGGTTGTCCAACAGACAACAATTTGGATGAAGCTAGGGGAGTTTCTATTCAAACAGCCAAATACTTGGAACATCTAAGAGCCACACAAAACTCATATTATTAACTGAATAAACTTTTTTTCTACTGTAATGCTAGTCAGTTTTTTCCTTTCATCAATACATTCTTACAATATAAGAATAAACATTAACAATTCAAATCCCTGAGCCATACTGAATCAGAATCTCTGGGAACTAGCTTCTGGGAAATGTGCCATTTCTACAAACTTCAAAAATTATTCTTTGTACACTAAACTTGGAGAACCACCATTTTACAATATGCTTTCTGTCTCTCAAGCTGAGGACAATTCCTGATTCTGTCCCAGGACTTCTGTCAGCTTGCTTTACATGAGTAGCTCTAATAAACACTTGAATCACATTTTTGTGGGACTATAGTTTATTCGATTTGGGAAAACTTCTTTAACAAAAGGAACATGAGCATCAATACAAAAATCAATTTTAAAAGTGAATATTTATTTATAATGAAAAAAGGAATGACGATAAAATAATGGACAGTAAAATAGTAAAGTCTCAGGTTCCTTTCTTCTGAGATCTCTTTAGGCGATTTACCGGAATGCTTGCACAGAAATGCTGCCCATTTATAACCTGGTTCCCTTTCCGCAACTTGAATATTCTATTATAGCTCCCAGAAATTCTCAACATTCACCAGAGTTCATGTGAAAGAGAAGCTGAAGGCATAACCTCCTTAGCTTCATCCTAGATCTACCTGAAACTACAGTGTTAGCCATTCACTTGTAAGTCATTAACACCCATGAGAATGAGTCCTGGGACTAACAGTGTTGAGTGGTCATCCTGAACCATATTCCTACTGGTTTTGATTGGTCTCTTCTTCTCTCTGTCTAGGACTTCACAATGACTTTTTATCTCAGGCATTACTGGAAAGACGAGAGGCTCTCCTTTCCTAGCGCAGTAAACAAAAGCATGACATTTGATCATAGATTGATCCGAAAGATCTGGGTGCCTGATATCTTTTTTGTCCACTCTAAAAGATCCTTCATCCATGATACAACTATGGAGAATATCATGCTGCGTGTACACCCTGATGGAAACGTCCTCCTGAGTCTCAGGTAAGGAGAGCTGCCTACTGCCTTTGGCCTTCCTGTACTGCCACTGTCTGAACCAAAACTGATGACTCTCACTTCAGGTGAAACTCACAATGTTGCTGTCTAATGTTTCTAGAGATTGGGACACAAGCATATGATGTGATTTTCCCTAGTTCTAACATCCAGATTAAAATAAAAATGATTTGCTGTTCTGACTATAACCACTCTGGGTATATGTTGGTTGGACAGATAGTGAAGCTGAATTATGGAAATCCTAAAATCTGGCACACAATTTTATAGGCAAACAAGCCTGCTTTTCCTCCTCACCAACTCCATGCGAACGCTGCACCCCACCAAGCAGTTTTGGAACTTTGGATTAGTTACACAATTTTTCTTAATTATCTCCTTTATTTTTCATGGGAAATCACAGCTATCATTCAAGCTAATACCAACTTGCTTTCTTTTACTTTGCTTTTAATTTAAAATGTGCATTCCAACACTTTGCTGTAACAGCGCTTCCTTTTAAATGTTCCGTATTTTCTTTTAGTCACATGAGTCCTGTGCATGTTGAGTGGGTTATCACAGGTAATTACTATAAATGTTTGGTAAACCCAAGCAACTCAGCTTTTTTTAATGTCCTCTAACCTTAGAAACATTCTAAAGTAGGCTGAACAAATGATAGATATCCCTGTCCTAACTTCTGGAAACTGTGAAGCTTATCATATATGACCACAAAAGAAAAAAAAAAAAAATGGAAAGAAAGGAAGGAAGGAGAGAAAGAAAAGGATCCTTGCAGATGTGATTAAGTTAAGGATCTTGAAATAGGTTAGAAGTCATCCTGGATTTTCTAGGTGGGACTTAAATGCAGTCTTAAGTATTCTTATAAAAGAAAGGCAGAGGAAAATTTCATGCATACAGAAAAAGGGAAGACAATGTAAGCCAAAAAATGCTGGCAGCCACCAGAAGCCATAGGACACATGGATTTTCCCCCAGAGCTGCTAAGAGAAGGGCCTTTATGACACTTCGATTTCAGCCCCATGATACTGATTTCAGAGTTCTGGCCTCCAGATCTGTGAGAGAATAAATTTCTATTGTATTAAACTACCAAATATGTAGTAATTTGTTATAGCAGCAATAGGAATCTTATGTAGATTCTTTTTGCTTGTTAAAATACCTCAGCACAGAGCTGTTGCCAAGCATTGTATATGTGCTGTCAATTTTTTTTTAAATGCAATTAAAGGAAAATATCACTTTCAATTTTTTTTTTCGGGGGGGTGTGGTAGGGAAGAACAGGGTCTCATTGTGTCATCCAGGCTGGGGTACAGTGACACAGTCTCAGCTCACTGCAGCCTCTGCCTTCTGGGTTCAAGTGATTCTCCTGCCTCAGCCTCCCCTGAGTAGCTGAGATTACAGGCACCCACCACCATGCCCAGCTAATTTTTATAGTTTTAGTAGAGACGAGATTTCACCATGTTGGCCAGGCTGGCCTCGAACTCCTGACCTCAAGTGATCTGTCCACCTCGGCCTCCCAAAGTGCTGGGGTTACAGGTGTGAGCCACCATGCCTGGCCTCAATAGGACTTTTAAATCAGGAGTAGCATAGGACTCATAGGTACTGGAGTCAAGCCTCAGTAGGAATCAGGAGCAGAACGGCACTATCTGGACAAAGAATCACCCATTTTAAATTAATTTTGGTGGGGGGAGTAATGAATTAACTCAGTCGATTTTTCTTACCCTGCACTTTCCAGAAAATATTTGGCCCTTGCCAGGCTCCTGTGGGGTAACCTCTAACCCCTTGGAATATCCTAACTGATGAGAGTATCTTTGTTTACTTGGGGGCTGGGGACTGAGCCCGATAGTTTCTGCTAACAATGTGATTTTTAGTGGAGGCTTTGAGCCACTGGATATCAGCTTGACCTCTGGAAGGGCTGGAGACTAAGGTCAGCCATGTGGGTTGGCAGTCAGTACTATGTGGCTACTCTCAATTAAAAGCATGGATATCAAGGCTTGGGTGAGCTTCCTTGGTTGGTGATGTCCCAAGGGTGTTGTCACATATCATTGCTGAGAGAATTAAGCACCATCCATATAACTCCATTAGAAGAGGACAACTGGAAATGTGTTCCTGGTCTCTGCTGGACTCTGCCCTGTGCTCCCTTTCTACTGTTGGTTTTCATCTGTGTCTTTCCATTATTATGTAGGTAGCCAAGAGTACAACAGCTTTGCTAGGCTCTGCAAGTCCTTCTAGTGAATCTCTGACCCTGAGAGTGGTGTTGGAGATCCTCTAACACAGGAGGAACTCAAAATTTTTGTCAGCACAGCTCTTCCAGCCAACAGCAGAGCCAGTCCAAGCCCAGAGCCAGATCCCCTGGTTCTGGAATTGGTTCTGACACCACCTAGCCTCCTAGCCTCTTTGGTCATTAATTCATTCACATGTACTATGAAGGAAGTGGACTGAAACACCTCAGAGGGTCCCTTCTAGGTTTAAAGTACTAGGAATACACCAAAACGAATATGTTTTGTGACACAAAGTAATCCTTGGCTTGATGTTTTGTTGCATGACTATTGACAGTAGAATTAGCCCCCAGAAGATGAAATGGTCCTGCTCCTCTGACTAACTCAAGGGCACCACAGGTAGGAACATCTGTTGCCTTTGTTTTTTGCAAACCTGCTCAGGGGCCTTTTACGAACCTTTGATCTGCTGTTGTGGGTTCCAAAATTTCTACTTTGAGGCAAGATCATAGTACAGCAGCCTCTGCCTGAAGCCAGGAAAATCTAGGAGGATATAAAATTTGAAAAAACAGTTCTTATCGGTATGCAAGCCTTTGGCTTAATAGCACCTGAATTATGCATTGTACACATAGATCTATAACTAAGAGTGCTCCAGGCTTTTCACTCACTACTGGAAAGAGGATTTCCTCAGGTAAGCTTTTTTGTAAAGGAAACCTTTACCTACAGGTTTTTATTGCCACCATCCCAACCCTTTGTTACTATAGGCTATTTATATGGGAATCTTCCAGAAAGCGAAAAATATTCAAATCTATTTAAAAGTCTTCTCACTTTAAAGTGTGTTTTTCCAGAGACATCAGAGCCAGAAAATACAGAGGGGGCTGATCAGGAAATGATGAGCTCAGAAGCAGGTATGAGAGCTGAATTCATTCATTGAATCTGTGGCTTAAACAAATCATCTGCCCTCTAGAGTTTGCTTCCTTGCATATTGTTTGGACAGAAGGTAATACCGCCCGTTTTGGATTATTCTTGAAAGATACACAGAACAGGCAAACAATAAGAAAGTTTCAGTGTTGCATGCTCATTTGGCCAGATGGTGAAATGATCTGCAGTGTTCTTTTTCTCGTTCTTTTTGTAGGATAACGGTTTCTGCCATGTGCTTTATGGATTTCAGCAGGTTTCCTCTTGACACTCAAAATTGTTCTCTTGAACTGGAAAGCTGTAAGTCTCACTTCCTGGTGGAGTGAGTACATCATTTGAACACATCATCACATATTTACATGTAAATAAGCATGCCCTTAACAAGCATTTTAAAATCTTGATATATTTATCCAAAATCAAAACAGTTGTTGGTTTTTTTTTGTTTTTTGTGGGGGGTTTTTGGTTTCTGTTTTTTATGAAGGTTGTGATGGCAGTTTGTCTGTTAAAGAAGATTCAGGGGGAAAGTATTTTGATAATTGTGTATTCTGCAGTTTCCACAATAAAGGAACAGCTCCCTAAAAAGGTCTATTCTTGCTAATGTTACATAGATTGACACAGACTTTTCACATTTGGAAAGCTCTGGAATTAATGTTCCCAGATGAATCACAATCCTTCATTAGGTAGACTTGGATTCCATAGAAAAATCTAGCTCTAGACATAGACACCCTTTATCAAAACCCCATCACAGGGTTCTGAGCTGTCAATCACTTTTACCCATCAGCTATTTTTGATACAAGATCTTAAAAGCTGACTGCAGTTTTTGAAAATGTGTCTGAAATGCTGGGAATCTCAACAGATGTCTAGTCCACAAATGCTCCGCCCCAAATCCGTTAGAAACTTTTTGTACCACTATTTGACTTTAGAAAATTTCTTGTAAGATTGGCCCATTTTGGAATTTCATCCAAGGAAACAAAAAACAAAGAGGGACTAACAGGCTGGAGTCAGGCCCGTGACAGTGAGGGGGTGCTATGGTGTCACTCTGAGGCCTGGCTTAATACTCTAAGAGAATGCACACAAATATGGGAGCAGCCATCTGGGGAGTTTTAGTTCATTGTGTGGGCACAAGATCCACACTATACTAGTCAGCAGGGTCTAACTTTTAGAGATTCTTTTCCCTCTTCCTAAAAGTGTGTGTATGATCAGTTCATTGGCAATCATATTTTTGTCACCTGATATGTTACATGTCATTGGACTAGGCACTAGGGACATGGAGCCACATAAAACATGGTTATAGAACTCATCGAGCTTACAAGAACTTACTCCACTTACAAGTATTTTCATGTTTTAGATGCCTACAATGAGGACGACCTAATGCTGTATTGGAAACACGGAAACAAGTCCTTAAATACTGAAGATCATATTTCCCTTTCTCAGTTCTTCATTGAAGAGTTCAGTGCATCGAGTGGATTAGCTTTCTATAGCAGCACAGGTAGAGCATTTTACATGGGTGATTCATCAGCATTTATTGGACATCTACTGTTTACAAAGCACCATAACCTGTGAAAAGACTGGAATCCAAGCGAGTGTCCCTTTGGCCAAGACCATCATTCCTGTCCTTCACAGGGAGCGACCTCCACCTTTCCACACCTCATTTCCCTCCCCATCCCCAACCCCCGCCATGCAACCACCTCTAACAAGATGCCTTTCTTCCATTCTTGACTCCTCCAGTCTCAATACAGCAGACTGAGTAATCTCTTTGGAACATGAAGTTCAGAATTCTTTCCTGTTCTAAACTTTCCAGTGTTTTTCCATCACATTTATAACAAAATTGAAGTTTCTCAACGTGATCAGCCTCCTGCCTAACGTGGGACTCACCCACTCACCCTGCCCCTCACCACCTGCTACCCTCCTGACACTGGTCTTCTTGCTTGCCGACCTCATTCCATCAGCAGGACCTCTCAGAGCCTGGCCATCTCTTCCCTCTGCCTGGAAAACTTTCCCCCAATATTCTCATGACCAGCTTCCCCACTTCAGTCAGTGCTCTGTTCAAATAGCTTCTCAAACAGTGCTTTCCTAACCAAACCAACCCTGTGTAAAACAGGATTCCTTTCTCACTGTTCCCCGCCTCCGTGATCACAGCACCTACCTTCACCTGAAGTATGCATTCATTTGACTGCTGTGTTTTCTGAGTGCCTCACCAGGACAGGGGTGGGGAATCTGTCTGCCTTGCTCACCATTTCTTCTGCAGCACCTGGAACGTGCTTGGCACATGATAATGCTCAATAAAAACCAGCTGAATGAATCCATCCATAAAGTGCATTGTTGCCCCAAACAAAAAACCCATCCAAAATTGGGCCTATAGAGCAGTCTTTACTATGACAGGTGTATTTCTGAATTGACAAGTTTTATCCAAGACACCTTTTAAAGTTATTTCTGATCCCCATTGACTGAAGCTGGAAGCAGCCTTCTGTTCCGCTCGACCCTCCTCACCCTCCACTGTCATTCCCCTGCTGGATAGTAATGAACTGGGTCATTTTAGGGCAAATCCATATAAAATGCCATTTCAGATTCAATGAAGCCATGCTTAGACCAGCTGGAAAGTGTACCAACAGCCGTCCCTGAGTTTCAGAGCTGTCCTGGCTAGAATGCTTTTACCTCCTCTGCCTGGATGGTGGTTCCTTTTCTCCTCAAAGATTCTCCACTCTGTTCTTAGATCTTGGAGAGTAGTTATCAAATTTTTGTCTAAAAACCTGCATCTTTAAGAGAGAAGTCGAAGTTTACATTGCAGAGAAGTTAAATGATTCTCTAGGAGCAGCAGCTATTTAGCTGTTTAGACCCAGAAGAAATTCTCTGTTTTACCCCATTATTTGTCTACATTGCTTGGGATTCAGCAAATGATGCTATCAATTTTAATCATGTTTATTGCCTTTTTTGATTATATAAGTAACACATATTTATTTCTTTTGATCAGTGATATGTCCCTGGCCCATGGTACATGCTCAAAGGCTAATTATTGAATGAATGAAAAGATGTTAGACAATTTGAGGAGACCTCAGAAAAATTTAAAGGAAAATCTCTTTGTAATCCTACCTTATAGAGATAAACTGTATTATTATTTTGGTATATTTCTCTGATCCTCCTCCTTCTCCTCCGTTTCTCACTTTGCCTTTCTCTATATGAATAAATATAAGCATATATTTATCAGGACTTTTAATGTTCTTCATTAATGCTAAATTAAATTAATATTTAAATAGAATGTATGCAATGAACAACCATGTTATATGTGAAGTATAATTTACAGGATTTTTAAAATTTTACTATTGCTATGATGAAATAACTTTGGCATGTGATACATTATAAATAGATATTTGCAATGTTTAATGCTAATATAATGTACTATATATGAAGCATAGAAATCCAAAAGAATTGTCTCCTGCACAGAACATATACAAAATATACAATAATAACGATGGCATTTCTTTAGCTTTTGGAACACAGTTGTCTATTAACTATATACAATCATTTTCTTAACAAGAAGTTAAATTTTACTTGAAAATTCTAACTTTACCACTAAGTCATTCCATTTGCTCTCCTATAATCTTATTTGTGCTTGTCAGACTTTTTGAGCTCTACCAGGCAGGTCCAACACGAGTTGATTTTTATCTTTTTCTGGTCATGTTTTAGAATCTCTCCAAAGCCAGACACAGTATTGGCATTGAAAAACTTGCCGCTTACAAAAATGCTTACATTTTAAAATGAACTTACAAATCCTTGACATTCAAATGTAGTTATATTTTTAAGAAACAGCATTTTGGTTCCTTAGAAAATGAAAAAATACATATAATTAGGTTCAAATGTACATGCTTTGTGTAGCATGAGATGGAGAGTTATCCATAATACGTTACCATTTTTTTTTAAAGCAAGTTACAGAAGAATACATTTTAAAATTCCCATACTTATTATTGAAGAAAGTATTTATACATATTTATGAGTGTTTATATACATATGTGTGCATATCGTGTGTGTGTGTGTGTGTGTGTGTGTATTAAAAGCCTAGAAAGATTAACAATAGATACCTCTGAGAAGTAGGTACAAATTGGGGAGATTTTCAACACTTGTATGTTTTAATTTGTTACAGTATACTCTTTTTTTTATGACAGAGATTTAAATGGGCTCTGAGAATAGGAAAAATGCAGAAGGAAAGCATTTTAGAAGTTGTATTCAAATATCAAACTAATAATCACATCTGGGTTTATTTAACTATCCCTTAGTTAGGTTTCAGAAAGATTGCATTTAGAAACTTATTTTAATTCGTGAGCATGTGATGGTTCTGCCTCACATCATCCATGAATCATTAATGTTCTGACAGTCAAACTCAAGTGTCTTTTTCAGACTGGTTTCCTGTTGTAGTATTTTAGCTTCCTCAAAAATTATTTTTGATTTTTTTTCACTCCTGTTTTTACAAGTACCAGCCACAACCACCACTCCCAAATCAGCTTTATGGAAAAACTATACACCTGACTCCGGCTATACGAGGCAGAAATACAGTTATAGGACCTTAGTTTCCATTTTATAGCTGAACAACGGGGTCTTTGCTTTTTCATTTTCTTGGTCTTCACCACTGCCATTGCCTCTGTTCAAAAATCACCATGACCTGGCAATATTAACAAGCAGGTGAGGGATTCTGCCTCCTGATCTCTTTCTCAAAATCATGCACTATAAATTTACTAAGAAAAAAGAAGTGGCCCCTGCCCCCAAGGGATGCATTGAATAGTTATTCTTTATCATAGCATAGTCTAGTGGCTGAATGTGTGAAGTACTATAAAGAGACCAGGGAACCAAAGAAAAGAAAAAGAGAGAAAAAAAAAAGAGACCGCCTAAGTTCAAACCCTGTCTCTATCATTTATTAGCAATGTGGCCTCGGACAAGTTGCTTAATCTCTCTAACCCTCTACCTTCTCATCTTTAAGTGGGTTTCATAATACTCTCTACATCGTAGGGTTGTGAGGTTACATGATGTCATATAATTAAGTACCTTAGAATGTTGTCTGCCATATAGTAGATGCTCAATAAATATTAGTTAGTAGCTGTCATCATCACCCTATTTTCATCCACATTGTCTTGATCCTTTGTATTAAGGCCTAGTTTCTTTTTTTTTTTTTTTTTCCAAAGGAAACTTCAGTGCTAAAGGCCTAGTTTCAAAGGGCCATTGAAGGTGACTATCTCTAGGTATAAAAACCTTCTTTATTCTTGTCTTGGGACTCAATACCCAGTTACTGGCCCAGTTCTCCATTTCCCTGGCTACCAAGTCTCTAGCCCTTTTCTCTCTTTTATTAACTCCTCTTCTTTCTACTGTATGGCAAGCTGATGGAGGCAGATGTACCCGCTCCCATCCAAAATGTAGTTCAGATGCAAAAACTGATGGTGCCATGCACATGACAAATGGGCATAAAGTGCTTTATTACTCACATAATGAGGGTTTCTAGAGAGATGGTCGGGCTCGCAAGCAGGTCTGAAAATGGCTTCAGAGAGCCGGCAGGGGCTGCTGGCCTGGGTTTTTGTGGTAGCCTAGTGGGTGCAGCGAAGGTGAAGGCTGCCTGTTGTAGGACAGGATGCATGCTTTGAACTTTTCACTGGTGCCAAAAAAGAGAGACCTAGGCTTTTTATTAGCTTGTTTAGATGCAGAGCAGAAAGAGAAGTTGGGCTTGAGAGCTTTTAACAGTTGAACATCAAAAATAGAATCAGACTCTTTATTGTACTACCCAAAATGAAGGCTTCTTGTCTTTCCTGATAGAGAAATGGGTTCCCCATGACCTGCAGGTTCAACTAAAATACCACCCCTAGTCTAGAACCACAAGGCAGAGCGGCAGTTTTACTTCCTGGTTACTCCACCCCACCAAAAAAAAAAAAAGGACAATTGGTTTTCAGAAAATTATGAATAAAGGATGTAGATAACTAATTTTGTTTCAAGTTAATAATGAACAGAAAACCATATACATGAATACTGTCTTCCTTTTGAATTGCTTTCACAAGTTTTCCTTATTTTAACCTCACAATAATTATATGAAGCAGTAAGGTCAGATAGCTGTTACTGTGCTCTGCAGCCATTACTGAAACTCTCAGTTGTACACAGTGATGAGCTGGGGCTGTGACGTAGGTGATACAGGACAATGAGAAGCTTGAAAAACAGATTACATTTTAACTTTGTAATGTACTATGTGATGTATCTTTTATTACTCCTGGTAATAAAATTGTTTGGTATTCCTGAAGCATCTATCAACTGACAGAGAGAAGCTTGGAACCAGGTAAGGAAAAGAAACATAATGAGCATTTAATTGAGAATAGGGTTCTAGAAGTAGAGTCTGCCAGTTCAGTGTGGGTTGGCCAGATGTATTTCTTAGGCCAAATGCCTAAGTACTTAACGTGATCCAACTAATAGGTTTGCCATCTTAGGTTTCTAAGAAATTACTGCTGAGACCAGTAGAAGGGTTTTCCAACTCTGCAATACCTGTGATTTTTCTTTTATAACTTTTGGCCTGTAGTCCCTGTGTTTTGAATAATGTTATCTGAAAGTAAACAGCATTTATCACAGAAAAAATAATCCTGCTACTCATTCATAAAAGATGTATTTTCATGTTTCCTCATTCATTGCCTTATTTTAGTAAAGATTTAACAAGATTGGCACACAGTTATTGTGAAATAAAGCAAGGTGATAGAAATTAGAAATGTATTAGGAAAAAAAAGGAAAAACCAGGATAGGGTATTGCATATAACCCGGTATGTGGTCATTAAAGAATGGTGCTCAGAGAAGTCCTGCAGATGTCTGAAACTTTGACTTTAAACTTCCTAGTAGTCAATGGGAGAGGTAAACCTGAACAAAATATGTGTGTGGATGTGACCACAAATGGTGCTTTTAATTGGCACAATTAATATTACCAAAATGAGTTTATGTAATTTAAATAAGATGCAAAGAAACATCATCATTTGCTTACTGTTTTGGAGATTTGTCATACACAAATTATGGTATTCATGAGACTTTAAAATGATAAAACTAGCTTATGGATTCCGTTTTCTTTTCCATTTGAATCCCTAGCTTTCTCCATCCCAGGTCAAAATCTAATGACCTACTACCTACTGCGAATCTTGTCATTCAGATAAATGTTTCTTTTCATTTGTTATAGCTAATAAATGGTCTGTTAGCTCTTTTATGCCATCATTAGTCATGTATTGAGGACTTTCCTTCTTGCATAAATGTCACAACACAGCATATTGTGGAGAAAGGTCTTTAGAGGCCATCCCAAAATATAACCACTATTCATCCCTGAACTGTAGGTGTGGAAGTTAAAAGGGACCTTTGAGTCACATAATTAAGCAGACTGTAGTTCAGCTCGTTTAACAAACACTGATGGAGTGCCAGGCCCGAACATGGAGATGAGGATATCGTGTTCCGTGTCCCCAAGAGCTTGGAGTCTCAAGAAGCAGGTCATTCACTAAGTGCAGTGTTTCTAAGAGGAAGCTCGCTCTAATGAACACTTTGGCTTTTTTCCATAGGTTGGTACAATAGGCTTTTCATCAACTTTGTGCTAAGGAGGCATATGTTCTTCTTTGTGCTGCAAACCTATTTCCCAGCCATATTGATGGTGATGCTTTCGTGGGTTTCATTTTGGATTGACCGAAGAGCTGTTCCTGCAAGAGTTTCCCTGGGTAAATCTTTCCCCATCTTTATAAAATGTTAACATGGAAGAAAGTTCAAGGGAAGTAAATAAAATGGGTGATACATGGAGAGGAAAAGAGAGTGGTGGTTTAGTAGGGATAGTCAGAGATGAACATGTAGGTTGCAGTATTTATCTTGACATCTTCAAGAGCAAATTGTAATTGAGTGATTTCCTTGGGAACCCAGATTTTAAGTATAAAGGCTTTGCTGACTGACCTGCAGCTGGAAGATAGTAAAGAAGGAGGGTGAAATTATAAAGCATAAACAGCCTCACTTTAAATCTTGTCTCTTCTTTTTTTAAGAAAATCTCCCCATGCATTATCTAAGTCCATTTAGCATTTCATGACAAACCCTTACATCACAGAAAGGAAGGCCGTCAAAGTAATTCACACTATACTGTAAGTGTATTAATAATAAATTGCCTTGGTGGGTTAACAAGAACGTGGAGGGGATACTTGAATTTGAAAATATGAATACTGATTAGAAATTAGGACTTAATCAAAAGGCCAAAATCAGAAACAACCACAGAGGAATTTCAGGTGCAGTGGCACATTAGTTGGCAAGAGATTTTAGGTGGAGAGACGTTGCCAGCCTCATTAAGTCACTACGCAGGGGTGATTATCTACACCATCTAGCATGCTGTATGCCTCTATCACACACGCTGATTTATGGGAGCCATTTCAGACCCACTTAGCAGTTATTGAGATCTTAGAAAGCAGAAGATGCCAAGCTAAGAACTTAGATGACATGTTACTTAATGAGAACCCAAGAGATAATTCCACTTGCCTTTTTTGCTGGTCAGGGCAGAGCCCCCTCATTTTATCTGATGTTGTTCTTTGATTTGTAGTGCTCCATCTAGAGAGAAGATTGTTATTATTATAATAATTGTTGCAATTACTGTAATTATCACAATTCATTCCAGAAAGGATGGTTTGTAAGTTAATGTTCACAAATTATATGCATGCTTCAAAAGATCGTTTGAAAGACATAAATGATTAATATTAACAATTTGCTCACCTCCTTTTCCCTATTAAAAGATTCAATTTACAAGCATTTGAGACTTGAATATCTTCAAGGAAAAAATACCATCTGAAGAAGTAAATTATTTGGACTGTTTCTTCACACCAGAGCGTGTGCCTGACCTCAGTACTGCAGTGTGGCAGCATAGACCCAAATACTAGACCAAGGGCACATTTCCAGCCCTCGAAACACACAGAGAAAAGCACTCAGTGTACAAAGGTTTATGAACATGATTTTCAATCAGATTTCTGAAGTTGACTGCTCTGCTCTTATACTGTGAAAATGACAGCAATAAGAGCCACTTCCATGGAAGGCTGGAGTGAATTGAGAACAGTAAGACACTTTTAAGACACCCTTGAAATTATCTGCTTCTTGCAACCTCGCCTGATCCCTTAGGGTCAGGAAATTGCTATGCAGATTTATATAAAATGCATGCAAATCAGAAGTGGCCCTCTCCCTCTTTTTTAAAAAATTATTTTAATAAGAGAACAGCACTATTCCTATAAAACTGTTACCCTGTCAGGCTTTTGCTTCCTTCCACCCTCACATTTTTTTCAGATACTTTGCTCTCTGCTTCCCTAGCTCTTTGCAAATGACGTGCTACCCAGTTCCCTGGAAGGTCCCTGTGAATGCCTGTTCATCTGGCCCACTCGCCTTTTCTCATCTGCTTCCTTCCTTCACCTTCTCTGCAACATTTGACATTATTGGGCTCCTCTGCAAATCTAGGACCAACTTTAGTGGTCAAGAATTTCAGCCTCATCTTCCTCATCTGCAAAATGAAATTATTAATACTACCTGTTAAAGGTCATTATGAGAATTAAATGGGAGAATTAATTAATTTAATCATGTCAACTGCCTAGCTTGCTGCCTGGACAAAACCAGCCACATACACAATGCGTTAGTTTTCAGTACTCTCCACTAGTCTGGTTTTCTCCTCCTGAAGACTTTTCTTTCCTTTTCTCTTTCCTGCCTTTTCTTCCACTCCTTAATTATGAGTAGCTCCCTCCCAAGGGTCTGCTCATTTTGACTGTTACTTAATGGAAGAAACTTTTTTATTCCAACTTCTGTCTCTATATAAGTATATGCTATCTGGGTACTTTCAGTTGTATGCTGCACTTCCCCTGCAGGTACTACAAGCATTCAGCCTGTTGAGAATTGAGTCTTACCTTGGGAACCCAGGCTTCAGGGACGAAGGATGTCCCACCTGACCTGTAACTGGGCGATAGTAAGGAAAGAGGGTGAAAGTATGAAGCATAAATAGCCTCACTTTTAAATTTTATCTTTTCTTTTTCTAGGTACTCTCCCATGCATTACCCAAGTCCATTTAGCTTTTCCTGACAAACCCTTACATTACAGAAAAAAAAAGAACCTTCAAGCGAATTCACACTGTACTGTTGGTTTCTTCATAATAACTTTGATGGGTTAGCAGAAAAGCCGCTTACTGTCTTCACTTATTCTCTTTACTTCCCCATTCTCTTCAGGGCCTCCGGTTTGTTGAGCCTTTCATATCTGAAACCTCAATTTCCTTCTTAATCTTTAGCAGTGATTCTCAAACTATGGCCTTAGGACCCATTTACACTCTTCAAAGCTAATGAGGACCCTCGAGAGCTTTTGTTGCTGTGGGTCACGTCTATCATTATTAGCCGTATTAGATGTTAAAATAGAATTTGAAAACGTGTTAATTTACTTAAAGCTAGGAATAATCAACTCATTGTAAGTTAACATAACATATTGTATGAAGCATAATTATTTTTTCTAAAACAAAAAGTTTAGTGAGAAGAGTGGCATTTTAAAACATTTTTGCAAATCTTTAATGTCTGCCTTTATAGAGGGCAGTTGGATTTTTATCTCTGTTTCTTCATTTATGCTATTGCAATAGGTTTTGGTTGAAATATAGGGAGAAATCTGACCTCATCAGATACATAGTTTGAAAAAGGAGTAGTATCATAATAGTCTTTCCAGATAGCCTCCCTTCACATGACACCAAAACTCAGCAAGTGATAGTTTCTTAAAGTTTAGTTATAGTGTGCTATCTGAAACCACATCAACAAATATTTTCTACTCTGTTAGATTAGAATCCATTGGTCTACCTTATACTTTGAGTAGATTTTTCCCTGATGCATTGGTTGTTTGGAAAATATTGTTCACTGAGTTATTCAGATCTTCCAAATGTTTACATAATTCATTATACTGGTTTGGATCATAATCTCAAAAGACACAATACCAAATGCCATAATCCTGAATGTTGAAATCCTGAAAGATCAAAATCCCTCAAGTCTAAATCCCTAAAGTCTAAAATCTCAAAAATCACAATCACAGGATAATTGTACCATGTTAGGCCAGTCCTTGGGCAGTATCTTCATGCAATTGCCTATAGCTTATCGCTGCCTCATACATGAAATTTTCTTTTTAGTTTTTGGTCTCTTTTTCTTGTTTTTTTTTTTTTTTTTTTTTTTTTTTTTTTTTCTAGTTTTAATTGTCAGAATTATATTTCCTATAATTTGCTATGCTATATATTTTATCTTTGCATCATTTCTAGTAGTGGAGATATAAAGTTAGACTATTAGGGAGTTCTAATTTGTATTAGCCTTTTTGCAAATTTAGCTCCCTCAAAGTGCATTATCACATTAGCTTTGTAAGTATTGTGCATGTATGTAAAAATGTTGAAACTTTCTCAATAAATGAAGACATGTCATTTTTGTACATCTGCATTTGTGAAAGATAAAATTTCATGAGATCTCAGCTCTTTGGGTGACTGCATATGTGGTGACCATCATGGTTTTTGATCAATCCTCAGAGACAGGTTGTCCATCACGATGTTTCAGATGACCACAGTTACAAAGCCGGGTACCCACAATGACCCACTATAGTGATACGCATTTGTATGTTTCCCTTTTGACCTATTTCTGCATCAGTATGGTTCATCTGCCCATAACAGCTGTACCTCTGCAACTGTAGTCAGTATACCTGTTTATGCTTACAGAAATACGTGTTTTATTATTGCCTGTTTTACTGTGTAAAGTGGCTTATGAAGTGTTATTTTTTTATGTTTCTCAAATAAATTACCTTTTTAAAATATAAATAGGTTTCACATTTTCCAAAATTATTTTTAGAACAATATTTTCAGGATTTTGATCTTTCAAGATTGTGATTTTTAGTATTTTAGACTTTAGAGATTTTGATCTTTGGGGATTTCAACATTTGGGATTATGGAATCTGGAATTGTGTCCTTTGGTATTGTGATTGGTTCCTCCTCCCCACCTGTTTTTTTCTGTCAAAATCCTTCCATCTCTACATGGCTGAAAGCCTTTAGTGGTGACTCCAAGCACACATGGTCACTCTCATCTTTGAACCCACGGTTCTTTGTGTATCTCCTAAGTAGCTTACTTCCTCTATTTCATGTTTTGCTGTGGGGCAGGAGTGGCTTGTCTTTCGACCTCTATTAGAATGTGAGCTCCGTAAGGACAAGGATCACTATTACCATTTTTGTTGTTCCTTCAGTAGGTAGCGCAGTGTCCTCCTGCACGTACTTCATGTTCAATACGTAGTTGTTAAGTTGCCGGTGTTTAGTCCAGCATATTTTTAGTTGCTAACTGGAAACAATAAAGGGTGACTCATTTGCTGGTGAAGACCCTCCCACATTTGCCATGCTTCAGGTAAAGAACAGTAGAGGGTGCTTAGCGTTTAGAAGTATGCACTGTGATTATGCAATTCTTGGCGGGGCGCGGTGGCTTACACCTGTAATCCCAGCACTTTGGGAGGCTGAGGAGAGCAGATCACGAGGTCAGGAGATCAAGACCATCCGTGAAGCTTAATACCGTGAAACCCCGTCTCTACTAAAAATACAAAAAATTAGCCGGGCGTGGTGGCACATGCCTGTAGTCCAGCTACTAGGGAGGCTGAGGCAGGAGAATCGCATGAACCCAGGAGGCGGAGGTTGCAGTGAGCTGGGATTGTGTCACTGCACACCAGCCTGGGCGACCGAGTGAGACTCCATTTCAAAAAAAAAATTAGCTGGGCATGGTGGTGTGTGCCTGTAATCACAGCTGCTAAAGAGGCTGAGGCAGGAGAATCGCCTGAATTAAAGGTTGACAGATGAAATATCTGTCGGAGGTTGCAGCGGGCCGTGATGGTGCCACTGCACTCCAGCCTGGTGACAGAGGGAGACTGTCTCAAAAAAGAAAAAGAAGTATGCACTGTGATTAGGCAATTCTCATAAGAGATAATAGCTACCATAACTTGGAATGCGTGATGGGTCAAAAATACTATTATGTCTCTCCATTCAATTTGGTATGGAGAGAATGTGAGACAATTATGGAGTTGTTCAAGGATATTTAAATATTATACTTTCTCCTCTCATTTTCACTTTCTCCTCCTTTTCTTGCCTCCATCATCCTTGCTTGATCCCTATGCATGAGGTATTCCATTCTCTACAGAATGCATTAAGTAATGGGCTCATTTACTGGAAAACAGATACGGCAGAGGAGGCTTTCAGACCTGTAGTTACTCTCAGAGAAAAATCATCTCCTAACAGAGGATATGCCATATATGCTTTAAAAAGGGAATCCTTAAGGAGCTGGATAAGAGCAGTTCATTTAACCACCACAGAGATACCAGAATTTCTAGTTACACTTATTCGTACTCTTATACCGCCTTCATGGGAAATGGTTATCAGTTTCTGGTCATAGACTAATGTTGGAATGTCAGGCCACCTTCCTTTCCTTCATATCATGTAACATTTTCTTTCTACCTAGGCCTATATGAAAAATATATGTACTCACTTGAAGGTGAATATAACACCCCCTCCCTCCAAAAGAACCACCTGCAACACAGTTATTGAGGGGGTGAACTCAGTGGTGTCATAAGTGACGCCTGTCTGCCCTACCGCTGTCATACCAGTCAATGAAACTCTCCACCATGCATGGCTAAAAATAGCCAATGAAACGGAATGATCAGTAATTCTCCCCAGACTAAAGTGTTCTTAAGACCCCATGCATGTCTTTAAAAGTGAAAATGGTGAAGCTGCAAGAGCTCAGAGGAGTTGAGTCAAAGGGTCAGACTAAATATTTTCTCACAGCACTTTGCTAACTATGCATAGCAACGTCAGTAGCGGGGGAAGATAATTTTCTAATCCAAACACATGAGCTTCCTTCGACTAAATGGTTGCTTCATATAATTCAAAACTCCTTTATTGGGATGTTAACTTTAATGGGTTTGGAAGGACTGCTATTTGTCAAGATTGATGTATCTTTGAGGGGTGGCTCAAGACATAATAAGTGTGTTTAATGTAGCTATAATACTCCTGACTTCAAGTTCTATTGCTTCAGGAATTTATATCTCAGTTTTCTCATTATTCACTCCCCCTACCTAACAATCACTCCTCTCCGCTCTAATCCTTTTTTTTATTGCTCATCTGAAAGAAGGAAAATCCAGAATGCTGGTTTTAAAATAAATAAAGCTATAATAAATTAGTTGGACTAAGTACCCTTTTAAAGAAAATGATTAATGGTTTATTGCTCTCTGGCAAATATAGATAGTGCAATTCCTTTTTATTTGCCTGGTAGTTATCAATTTCAAATACATGACAAGACCAAACACAAACTTGTGTGTTTGTTCTAAACTCTTATTTTGTCCACTAAGCTCCATATTACTGTACATTGAGGAAAACGTTCGGTTCTATCTTTTCTATCTTAGAAAACCGGTAAGAGAAGACATTAAAAATTTTTCAAACAAATGAGGTTAGCACTGAGTAGGAATATTAGTTCATGATTCCTTCACTTCCTGCCAGTGAAATCTTGAAGACAGTAAGGCATTGCCTCTTGGCATAATTCTGCACTCTGAACAGAATTTGCATTCTGCTCTGACATACGAGGTAATTCCTTTGCCACCCTCAGCTTTTATTTCTTTTCTGCAATGTGTGCCTAATTATTTACCTAGATGTGTGATGGGTAAATATTTGATAAAAGCAAGCAGGTTTTATTTAATAATCTTGGCTTCTGCTATGCCTGTAATGTTAATAGAAATTCCATGCTTAATAAAATTCCATGCTTCGAGTTCATTCCTTGCTTCATGTTTATGTAGGAAGTGTTTTACAGCCAGAGAATGCAGACATCACCCTCTGATAGGCAGACTGTTGATCGTACCATTGTTGGGGAGACCTGGGACTCCATGAGGTAGTGGCCTGTGTCCAATGCTAAGAGCTGGAATAGCATTTAGGTTTCTTATTCTGGAGTTCAAATCGGTGTGAAGGTGAGAATCCAGGTCCTCCCATGGTACTGTCCAATTGCCAAGTTGTGTCGATCTTGATCATACAAACTAAAAACTTTGTTTGAAATAGAATGACTCTAAAGAATTGTTACTGTGTTTGATATGGGGCTCTCTCAGATGAGAGCTTCACAGAATTATTACAGAAAGGATAGGATGTGTTGGTGAAAGCAGTCCACATGCTGTGGCTGTACATTTAGGAGTAAATCACAGTGCTCTTCCTGCTGTTTGGGACTCTGTCTGTTGACATTAAAATGTCCTCACAACTTATAAAAATCATTAAGGATTCCATTTGCACCTCCCTGGTGGGAAATTAAGAAATAAAACCATGCCAGCCAGTGTACATTTCAGATATTTACAGTAGTATGCTTTCTCTCCAGGCGGCACTCTTGCAATATCCCTCTGAGAAATAAATGTAGACATGGAATGGCCCTCCCCATGGCCAGCATTTTATTAAGGAAATCTCAGAGTCACTTATTCCTCCATTTCCCCCCAGAACCTTGATCTTCTTAGCTCTGATGATCAGGCCAGAGAACAAAGAAGTAAAAGGAAGAGGGAGGAAAAACGAAAGGCAAGGGGGAAGGTAACAGAAGGAGAGAAGAAGGGAAGAGAAGAAAAGGGAAGTGGGGAGGGGCAGGGAGGAGAAAGGAGGGGAACGGGGAAGGGGGTGCAAGGGAAAAAGTGACTGGAATTCAGCAGTTGCTCAGTAAATGTTTACGATGAATGAACCCCCACTAGCACACTTACACTCAGAATCAATGGAACTGTAGCTTCATTAACAAAGGACAAAGAGAATAACGACTTTTAAAGTATTCTCTGTGAGAGGATAATATAGAGAATAGCAATTTTGAATGCTACTAAAGATCACTCGAGAAGAAATAAGCTCCCCGGAAACATGAAATATTACAGGTAGACATAAAGACAGGTTATGAACAGTAAAAATTGCGAAGGAGTGGGAGAGGTTGGAGGAAATGATTTTAGAGTTTTTTAAATCGAATACATGTTTACCTTTCTGGGATGCTTAGAAGAGGCCCATCGGAGGATAGAAAATAGAAATGTCAGAGTCTGGTCTCTGTGAAGTCTTTAAATGGAGGGAAAAAATCCTTCTGTAAAGGTGAGGGCAAGAAAAAGCGACAGAAAAAAAAACCCGATGAGTGTCTTGTTGGCTTGAGACAGATACTTGGGCGGTGTACACACACCTTCCCTCCTCTTGGATCCCCAGATTGATATTGTTCTAGGAAATGCACCCCTGGTGTAATTCAGCACCAGATCCTGGAAGTGAATGGTTGTCACTAAGCTTGTCACTGTTCTCAAATGGCAGGAATCACCACAGTGCTGACTATGTCCACGATCATCACGGCCGTGGGCGCCTCCATGCCCCAGGTGTCCTACCTCAAGGCAGTGGATGTGTACCTCTGGGTCAGCTCCCTCTTCGTGTTTCTGTCAGTCATTGAGTACGCAGCTGTGAACTTCCTCACTACAGCGGAGGAGCGGAAACAATTCAAGAAGACAGGGAAGGTACAGCCTTGCTTTAACGATCAGATTCCTTGGGGAATGTAGAAAAGACTACCTTATCAATCGCCCTCTCTTGACAGTGTGGTAAGCCTTTGTTCTAAGTGCATATGCTTGGCAAGAGGCAAGTGTACAGTATGGTGACAGTTCAACATTGAACCTTACTCTCTGCTCTGTGCTGGCTGGTTTTCTCATCCTCACTCACCCTCATCAGGAGTATGGGTGTGTGAAGAATTTCTCTCAATATGCTCCTTTCTCCCAACTGTACACTTTGAGTAGAAGGGGTTGACATACAGACCACATTCTTTGAAGTGGGTAATGGTGATAATAGCTAACATGTAATGGGGGTTTATCACATGTTGGCATCATGCCAAGCATCTCACATGTCATGTCAGTTAACTCCCATAGTAACCCTGGGAGGTCGGCACATTATTGCCCTTGTTTCACAGAGGTGAAGCAAACACAGCCGGGTGGTAACTTGGCCAGGGTCACACAGCTGAAGAGGATCAGGCTTTGCTCCTGGGTCTCCTTGACTTCAAAGGCTGTGTGTGCCCTCTCAACCAATAAACGATATGATTCTCTCCACCGAGAGCCAGCGTTTATTTTTCTCTTCTTGTCACTCGGGAGAGTGGTGGAGCATAAAGGGAGGTTCTCCCCCACGGTATCCTAGAAATGAGGTGCTCTCTGGACTCTAAATGTTATCCATGTTTTTTGTGACATTGTTTAATAAATATAGATAGATTACTCTCTACCTGCTTCATTTCATAGAGGATTTGGGCACCAGTTTCTTGCTCCTACAAGAACTTACATAATTTATTGTACTTCAGAAACTTATAAGAGTCATTCATTCATTTCTAGTCTACTCCTGAGAGAATAAACACACATATGCACATACATATGTGCATATAGTATATATGTATGCATATACATCCTATATAGAGAGTATCTATACACAAACACCCATAACTTCAATGAAATGTATTCGCATTGATTTAAGATTATTTTACATGAGCATTTATACACACCCAAACATTATTAATATTTTTTATACTTCTGAGAGCATCTCATACTTTCAGAGTATTTTGTTGTTTTGTTTTGTTTTGTTTTTTGAGACGAAGTCTCACTCTGTCGCCAGGCTGGAGTGCAGTGGCACGATCTTGGCTCACTGCATCCTCCGCCTCCCGGTTTCAAGTGATTCTCCTACCTCAGCCTCCTAAGTAGCTGCAATTACAGGCGTGCTCACCATGCCCAGCTAATTTTTGTATTTTTAGTAGAGACTGGGTTTCATCATGTTGAAAGAGGCTGGTTTCAAACTCCTTCCCTTGTGATCTGCCTACCTCAGACTGCCAAAGTGCTGGGATTACAGGCATGAGCCACCACACCCAGCCCAGAGTGTTCTGATATCCTCTTCTCACACCAAACCTTTATATCAGCCCCCAGTGTAGATCTTGCAGAGACTATTATCTCTATTTTATAAACGAAGAAGCAGAGTTCTAGTGAAATGAAGTGATTTGCTGACAGATTCTCAGCCAACAGAACTGCAATTGCAATTCAGATCTGGAACGCTTACTTCATCCTTTGATTTTACATCCTTTGAGTCAAAGCTCTAATAAGAGCTGATTTTGTTTTCTGGAAGATGCTTTCATTTCTTTGATGGCAGCATGTGACTATGTTTGCCAGTCACATACACACCCACAGTGAGTGCTATGCAGGTGTAAGGAAAGCAGGAGCACTTAGAGCAGTATGCGCCAGTGGTGTGTGGGCATCACCTGGGTCCTCGGTAAACTCTAATTCAGGAGGTCTGGGGTGGGAACTGAGACTTTGAATTTCTAATAAGCTCCAGGTGATGCTGACGCTGCTGATCTATTTCCCACACTGAATAGCAATGATTTGGATCATCTGTGAAGTGAAAGGTGACAGGAAGAATGTGTAAGGAGGGAAAGAATTTTCTTCATGTTCTATTTTGTTTTTATACAAGAAGTGGCTAACGCAAGAAACAGGCACTGAAGTACTTCTGGCCCCCCTCCATCTAGTCCTTTGACTCAAAATATCCACAACTCCCTGCCCCCATCTGCCACACAACATGTGATTGTTGTGATCTGCCACACACTGCCTGATTGTTTTTGCTTGTTGATATTGTACACAATCTTTTTGTACCGCTATGCAAAGTTTCTTTTCAGGTAATAAGCATCCTCCATTTAAAAAATTATTTTTCAATTTTTAATTGTAAAATTACTACAACTTAGATTTTACAGTCTGAACTGCTTTTAAGTGGGTAGTTCAATAGTGTTAAGTATATTCACTCTGTGGTGCAGCAAATCTCCAGAGCTCTGTCATCTTGCAGAACTGAAACTCTATACTCACTAAACAGCAACTCCCCATATTCCGCTCCCCCAGGCTCTGGACACCACCATTCTAATCATCTTCAATTATCTCAAAGAAATGCAGTTATCTCAAAGGAATGTCCTATTTGCCATTCATATCTTTGTGGTACAAAACGAAGAAATGATTGAAGTCAGAAGTGATGGCAGGCCAGGCACAGTGGCTCACGCCTGTAATCCCAGCACTTTGGGAGGCTGAGGCAGGCGGATCACTTGAGGTCAGGAGTTCCAGACCAACCTGGCCAACATGGTGAAACCCCGTCTCTACTAAAAATACACAAATTAGCCGGGCGTGGGGTGGGCACCTGTAATCCCAGCTACTCGGGAGGCTGAGGCAGGAGAATTGCTGGAACTCGGAGGCTGAGGTTGCAGTGAGACAGGATCACACCACTGGACTCCAGCCTGAACAACAGAGTTAGACTCTGTCTCAAAAAAAAAAAAAAAAAAAGACATGATGGTAAACTAATTCCATCACATCCCACCATCCAGCACTATTCACCCTCCACCACCATCTACCAACACCACTACCCACCACCCACTACCACCACTCACCACCCATCATTTACCACCCACCACCCACCTTCTACCCATAACCACCATCCACCAACACTACCACCCACCACCAACCACCACCACCTTCTACCCATAACCACCGTCCACCACCACCACCACCCACCATCCACCACCACCACCACCACTCACCACCTATCATTTACCACCCACCACCCGCCTTCTACCCGTAACCACCATCCACCAAAACTACCACCCACTGCCCATCACCACCACTCACCACCCATCACTTACCACCCACCACCCACAACAACCCTCTACCCCTAACCACCATTCACCAACACCACCATCCACCATCCACCACCACCACTCACCACCCACCACCCATCATTTACCACCCACCACCTACCTTCTACCCATAACCACCATCCACCAATACCACCACCCACCACCCACCACCACCACCACTCACCACCTATCATTTACCACCCACCACCACCTTCTACCCGTTAACCACCATCCACCACCACTACCACCCACCACC